AAGATCTGCCTACTAGTATCATCAAATCTCTGTAGTTAACATGTTATACCTATTTTTTTACTCATTCGGTAAAACCACAAAGTGTTTGTTTTTCAATATGGTATTGTATGGATTGAAAACAAGTCAGATATTGTTAGTTTTGTACAGAGCCAGGCTAGCTATTTTCCCTTTTACTGTCTTTGTGCTAAGCTAAGCTAAAGTTCTTTAGCTGCAGCTTTGTATTTGACAGACAATTGAGAGTTACAATCTTCACAAATCTTCATCTAACTCTCTGCAATAAGGAAGTCATTGCATTTCAAACTATTTCATTAAAGGAATAGACACAAAATAATTAACAGATATGTATGTATACTTTGAAAACCTGTGGCCATATGGTCAGACTTATCTCTCGTCAATCTTTGGTGTTGTGTTCATGAGAAATGGACAAATAGCATCATTGGCCATGCTCACGATGTCACTATTAATCAGCCAGTGCATTATGTATCGTAGCCGTCAAATCACCAAAGCTTTCTTAATTCTGACATTTCCTTAAATAACTAAGACAGTCACTGTAAACATCTTACACTGACGTTGCATTTTATGCATGCTTGAGGCAGGTTCATAGTGACGCACTTAGCTGAAGAAATCTTATTTTCACAAGAAATAATATGTAGCTTTGAAAGTTTCATCCTTTGGTTCTTTAAAAATAATATGATTTGCCTTTCTTGACAGCTTGAACCTCAAGATAGGAGCATGACACATTTTATGATTCAGAGGAAGATGCTCTTCCACTTTATGTTGGACGTTGCATGTTTCTACTGAAAATTGAACTCAAATATCTCACACCAAAGCATCCTGGAGTGTCAGTCCACATCAGAGGGAAGTCCCTGTGAGCTGAATAATGTTATTAAATTCACAATCATGTGACTAAAGTGTCCAAACCGTCTCTTAAGCATCAGAGACATCACATGGCCTCTTTAATTGCCTGTTGAGCTTTATGCGTGCGCCATGCATTTACAATCTTATATTTTCCTGTCCATAGACCATCATCACTCTGGGTTTAACCTGGCTTTATTAAAAGCTCCCCCTACATCCCTGGAGTTGTCAGTGAGAGTGCAATAACATTATTCACCTTTAAATCTCATAACACTGTGATGTGTATAAAAGTGAATGATGCTTTGAGTATTCATGATGTAATGTAGAAAATGAAAAAACAGGCTGCTCGAGGGACGTTTCGGTAAGCGTAAATCAGCCAAGTACAGGGGTTGGACTGAATATGACATGAAAGGTTGCTTTATTGAACTATTTTAAGATCACACTTTGCTGTTGTCTAGATACATATCATAATATAAATGCAGAATGGTAGCTCTAATACCTGTATGTAATGTTCCACAGCAGCAATGCACAAATATATCCTTCCAGCTGCTGCTGTGTAGGTTTTGTATCATGTGATTTACATGCATCTCTATTAATGTGACTGCAGTGACAATGTGATTATGAAGCTCTAAAGTTAAAGTGTTGTTATATTTCTTAAACAGTGGAGATAACTCACAGCCACAGAGAAGTGAATTTGCTTTCTTGTAGAGAGTTAGATAAGAAGATTGATACAACTCTTATGTCTGGTCTCACAATATAAACTGGAGATGTTAGCAAGTTAGCTTAGCTTATCGTCAAGACTGAAAACAGGGGAAACAGCTAGCCTGTCTCTATTTAAGGGGAATAGGAGGCCTTCCAGTACTACCAGTAGGGTGTAATTTGGCATTTGAACAGAGAGACAGGCAGGTTTATAGTCTATGCTAAGCTAACCAGTCTAGCTTCCTATTTACTTGACAGATTTAGGTAGGGCTTAATGGGAGGTTATCTGCCAGACTATTTCTCACTACTTGACAATTTGACAGTTTATTTTTTATTTGTGGACTACCGGATCACTGCATATAACTTGTGAATATATGAGTTTAGGAGGTGCTGTTTGGTATGTTACCACAGGCTAGCTCTTTACAGTTGTTATGATAAGCTAGGCTGCTAGCTGTATAGCATCAAAGTAACATAAAGACATGAGAGATCTTCTCATCAAACTCTCAGCAAGAAAGGAAATAATTGCATTTCCAAAAATGTCAAACTATTTATTTAACACGCCTTTGATATCTGTAATATTTTTCTTTACATTCTGAAGGGTTATAATGTGCCTGGCTTTTCCTCCAGTTATTGGCATGATATGATGTTAAACCATCTACCTGTGAATCCACTCCCACTGTAATATAACCAGCTGGAGCTTGGCAGTTGCCACATTTAAAGCTCCATGACAGCCGCATGGCCCTGGGTGTGATGTATTTATGTGCACTTACACTGTAGATTAGTTGTACAGAGAGATTAGAAAATCACTGAGTTATAACGTCGACCTCTCGGTGTGTGTCACATTCATGAGTTAATGTGATGCACTGCTATAAAACAGTAAATGTATGAGCCCTTTTTCTGATTCAGTAAAGTTTTGACTCATCTCATGGTAGAATAAACAGAAAGACACAGATTTTGCAGTAGTTTGTTGGTACAACTTATATAAAGATTAGTTATCAATTTATTCTGAAGGTTTGTAAAAGTGTAAATATATTCTCTTAATAGGAAACACTTTAAAGAACGTATCAATTGCCATCCTCACTGAGAGAAGAAACACTGTTGAATTATTAAATAAAACATCTTATCTGACTAACAAGATTCTCGTCTCCATCACTCAGATATTATTGGCTGTGAGAAGATGTTAAGTACGTCTTCAAGACAGCTTTCGTCTTCAAACAGAGTAGCTTTATAGAGCCATTCTACTTTCCAAGGTTGAATAAGATGTAAATGGCCTGACTGTTTTCCTACAACAAACAGGGACATTATACTCATTGGGCTCAATTTCCTAAGTAATGTATGAAATGCGTTCTCACTTTATAGGGCTGGATGTGATGTTAGCCCTGAGCTAGTCTACATCTATTCACACGGTGATGCTTCATTAGACCAGCCCTTTCTTTAAATACCTCTTGGAGAAATGGCAGATGAAACTTAAATCCCTTTAAAGCCTTTTCAAATGCCTTGCACCCCAGTAACATGGCAGATAACAGCTTGGACAGAATTGTATAATTTATGTTTTTGAATATAGTTATTTGACAATAGTGTCAAGTATAATTTTTGATTCCATCCCTGTAATAAGCAAGCCAATTATCTCAAAAAGGAATACCTTTCTCTCCAAAATAATAAATAATAATAAAAAAAATTAAAACACCCGAATTAGTCAAATATGTTCTGCCAAAATATAAAAAAAACGGATGGCAACAATCATTAACCATAACATTTGAAGAAAGTTGTGTCACATACATACCATTTTATTTCATTCCCCTTTAAACAAATACCAGTCAAAAAGAAAATGTGGTCCACAGTAAGTACTAAAAAAGGCTATTCATACCTGACCACAAAGGACATAAACAATTCTAGAAGAAAGCTGGTGTACAGTATGTGTAAACTAGACAGCAACCATTGCATCTCGATATAACATTTTTGCATTTCATAAAACCTGTTTGTTTTTTTAAATTGTGAGAATATCTCGTTCTTGAAATGGTTACTTCAATGCATCCCTTCAATAAGCATTCAATTTGGCAACATGTATGTTCAAATGTGTCCTTCCATCACCCTTAAAAAGCTTGTTTTAAATACAGTAAGGCTTTCAAACACATTTCAGCAAAGGCATTTTTAGTGTTAAATGCTTTGAAGTGGACTATTTCCTATCTGCACCAAATTATTCCCAACAAAAGTGAAACATCCTCCTCACACAATGCTGTTAAAACGTGCATTCCTAATATGATCTTTCAGGCCTCGGTGAACATTTTACACTGGCCTAAATTCAAACTAACATTTTATCCTGTGAGGCTTTTCCCCTCTAGTCAGGCTCACAACTACAATCTATGACAAACTGGATTATCGAAAAGCAAATTCCATCAATTGCTGCTGTGACCGATTTAAACTGGTACGAAGCCAAGAGGTCGACTAGATTCGCTACACAAGAGTTGTCAAATAATCAAAAAGACACTGGTCAAAACAAACTATACTGGATTATAAATACGATTGACATTTAAAAGCTGCAGCGCTTCTTGGACTAGACACAACTGCTTACCTTCGAAGTGATTTCAAAATGATAATCCATAGGATTTCCATGAATTTCAGCTCAAGATTTATACCAAGTAACCATTTGATGTAAATAAATAGTGTTTTTCTTTGTCAGAGGCAAGTCTGCCTTTCTTGCCACACATTGAAATTACCAATAAGCGACTCAAAGCGTTAGCGTTTAATCTTATTTCATTTATAGTCACAGTGTGTTTCGATAAAAAAATTCAAGGAGGAAAAAATATATTGCTGCAGATTAAAACTCAGGAGTAGTCTGAGGAAGGCTTAAGTAGGGGTGCAGGAAACGCTGAAGGGGCCAAAATTAGCCCTACTTTACGCCCCTGAACCGATTTGGCAGTGTGGCTGCAGTGATCTGAATCACCAGATGGTTCCTAGTTAAACTTTAATTATGTTATCATGTTGCCTGCTCTCATCTTCTCATCCTCTCCTCCTGAAGGACAAGCCCCACACACTGTTTATCTTAATTCGCTTGAGGTCCAAACATAAAATCAGAGCACAGCTGATTATGGTGCTGATTGTTCATTTCGTTTGGTAGCATCGTTGCTACTGCTGCTTGTTTTGGTCGTATTTCTGCCAAAATAGCTGCTCAGCGAGGGTTCACTGTAGTATTATAAATTGTGCTATGGAAACCATTGACTGTTGCCATATCAACCAGAGTATAACTTTAACTAAGGCAGTGAACTGTCCTACAGCCTTTGGATGTCCTTCACAGCTCCGGTTTTGGCTGGAAATTAGCTAATGGCCAGTCCAAACAACAAAAAACACATGCCTAACCTGTTTTTATATGATAAGCCAGAAAGGGGGGATAAAGTGCAGACTAAAAGTATGTAAATCAAAACATAAATTTGATCAAATGTAGTGTCAAGTTACATTTCCTAAAATACTTGGATTTATCCACCTATCTGGCATCAAAGAACAACAAGACAATCTCATTTAATACAATATTTAACTAATATGATCCTGTCTCACCCTGAATGTATTGATAAGGCAAAATAATAAACATTTCTTTAAACAAAAAAGCAGAGGCCAACGTTCACTAATGCACTGTTCTAAGGCAAATCACCCGCAGCATTTAGCAAAAGACTATTGCAACAACAGGAATACAGCAAATAAAGAAGTGACAGGATTACAATGTTTACAGGAAGACAAACTCCGGAGTCCATTTTGTCACACGGACAGTGAAACTTTCTGGACTTCAGTTTCGAGTTCACATTATTGTCTAGTTTTGGAAGCAGGAAATGATCAGACATACTGCAGGAAGAACTCCGCCTCTGGCTGTGGTTTAAGTGCTTCTTGTCAAGTTGTTGCAACTACTCTCAGTCAGCACCAGCCAAACAAAAATAAAAAGAAGGTGAATGTTTTAAAAACAAAAAAAAATCTTTGACAACGGAACACCCTGATAATATTGATAAACAAAATATCCATAAATGAAAGAAAACGTAGAAGTGGTAAAGAAGAGTTCATGCTCGTTGAGGTCCAGCCAATAGGAAGGGATATCGGAGAAGTCCACAGCAGCAGAGCTCAGCCAGGCTTCAGTTTTCACACAATGTACTGGTACAAGTCTGCCTTGCCGTGGTCGGGTGTTGCAAAGGGGCTCAGCCAGGCTATAGAGAACGGATGGCCAAACACCACCTTCAAATTCATCCATTTGGACCTTTTGGCCCATCGTCTCTCCTCCTTCTTAAGCTGTTCGATACCCTGCAGGTAAAAGAAGTGACAAACATCAGAATCTGACAATCTCCAGAACTGATTAAAGCTGAACATATAGCTGTGTATCCAAATGTCTGTGTGTGACCACAATCCAATTTTGTGGTCTGGTATATATTCAGCCATCAGTAACTCCCCGTGTTACCTTGAATGCGTAATTGAAATTCTTGGATGCCTCCACGGTGAACGTAGAATCAGAAAAGCAGAACAAAATATATACTTTTCTCAACCCTTAGATATTTCTTCAAGAGTTACAGATAAAACGGGGTGAGTAATATATTTAAAAATAATCAACAAGTATTCCTTTAATTATGATTATGGTGACTCACTGTCAGCATTCCCTGGTGTCAAAGAACAGCACGCAGGCACAAAATGGACTGAAGTAGATGATCTTTGTATAGAAGATCAAGCCGCTGTGAGTCATTGTTGTGGGTGGTTGAGCCGACACAGTATGGGAAATAATCTCACCTACCTGGAGGCTGCAGAGTAAGCAAATTACCTGCTCCTGCTATCATCTGTGCTATGATTTAGTCAACAACACACAGGATGAATTCATGACTTATTTTAAAGAGTCAGAGCGGCAGAAAGGAACCTACATGTGTGTCAGGATAACTTGCTGCCTAAACTCAACCAGCCCAACACATACTTATTCAAAAACAGATGAGTGATTTGGTTGTAAGGGATGCACCAGATGTAATTTCCTTGGCTGACTCCAATTTGGATTTTTTAAAGTCTGACTATTTCATGACTTTTAAGTTTTTACTCACCGTCTCATCGGAGCAGATGGAGTGGACCTGGGTCCCAAACATGACTGCAGTGAAGATCAGGAAGAGGAGAGCCTCAAAGCAGAGGAGGATGAGGAGGATGACGGTAGCCGGTGGAGAGAAGTTACTGCACTCTGGAAAAGAAGAGTGAAGAAAGATTTGTCAAGTTGTACATTTTATCTGTGTGAAAATGCACAGCAACAAAATGGAGTCAAGCTCTTTCCTAAAATCTCTCACAGGACATAAGAATATAACTACTAATGGTACATTCGGGATATGGTTGGTTAGAATGTATTATACGTTTGCAGCTTTGCATCTTTACAATTCTCCGTTGGATATAATCAGCTATATTTGCACATTAATGGTGGTAAAACAATAAAGTCCCTGAGTACACTGAGCAGCTGCTACATCAGTTCATCACGTACTTGTCCAGTCTTCTTCAAAGCAGAAAACAAAATGGAAGGCCACCAAGATCAGGGCATGGAAAGATATTAGTGAAATATACATCTGTCGAGAGAAAAAGAGCAAAACATAAGATAATCATAATATCAAGACATGTATCTAATCTATATTTCATACTAATGTTATTTATATAGGGGTTGCATATAAGTTGAGATAAAAACAGTAAATATAGAATGAAGGCGGCAGGTACTTGTTGCATTTCTGCTCCACAATATTTTTGCTTACATATTTAGCCATGCAATACAGCCAACAATATTACTTGTGTAAAAGCATATTGGTTCAAGTGTTTTAAGACTCACTGTGAAGAGCACAAAGTATTTCTGATTGCTCTCTCCGACACAGTTATTCACCCAGGGACAGTGGTGGTCCATCTTTTTGATGCAGCGTTTACACACACTGTGGGCACACAGAGACACAAAGATAAAGTTGA